ATAATTTTGCATACTATACACGTCAATGACACAGGTCTATAGTTTAGTGCCTCTTTTCTGTCTCCTTTTTTGAAAATGGGAACTACATTTGCCGTCTTCCATACCTCAGGTAGTTGCCCAGTTTCCAGGGATGTGTTGAAGATTGTGGTAAGTGGTACGCACAACATATCTGCTCCCTCTCTAAGGACCCATGGAGAGATGTTGTCCGGTCCCATTGCCTTTGAGGTATCGATGTCCCTTAGCAGTTTCTTCACCTCCTCCTCATCTGTATGTATGTCGTCCAACACTTGTTGGTGTATTCCTTGTTGGTGTCCCCATCTGGTCTGTCCCCCCAGAGTCCTTCCTGTCTCTACTGTAAATACTTCCTTAAATCTCGTGTTGAGCTCCTCACATACCTCTTGATCGTTTCTTGTGTGTGTGTGTGTGTGTGTGTGTGTGTGTGACTCAACAATCAATATTTGCACCAATAACTCACTACAGTTGTGACTGGGTGTGGAAGTGTGAATTGTTCATTACTCTATAATTTGTTCATGATTGTAGCCATGTATAAACGTAAGTAACCATTCTTACAGTATTCATTACCTTTGTAACTTGTGAGTTCATTACCTTTGTACCTAGTTCAGCTATCACAACTTTGGGAGCCCAGTCCCTGGACCCATTACGTACCTCTGTAATCTGTAAATACCTTTGTAACTTGTCATGATTGTGACCAGACCTACCTGGAGTTCATTACCTTTGTAAATTGTGAGTTCATTACCTTTGTAACTTGCTCAGCTATCAAAACTTTGGAGTCCAGTCCCTGGACCAATTATGTACCTCTGTAATCTTTTGACTACCGCCCACAGGATGGGTATGGGGTGACTACCGCCCACAGGATGGGTATGTGGTGACTACCGCCCACAGGATGGGTATGTGGTGCATAATAAACATAATAAACTAACTAACTAACCATTTGCTGCAGGACTCCAGTTCCAGTGTTAAAACATTAGCAATATCTTGTGGGTCTTTACCTGTCACTAACAGAGCACTGTCATCTGCATACAGTAGGAGTTTGCACTTGACACTGATAGGCATATCATTGACATAACATAAGAATAATAAGGGACCCAGAATACTACCTTGGGGAACTCGATATGTTATCGTATATACATCCACTCGTGTGTATGTCAAGTATAAAAAAGAGATGAGGTGATGATATACTGTTAAAACATCATCACACATCACACTACCATCCCTGGCTTTATTTTATATATATATATATATATATATATATATATATATATATATATATATATATATATATATATATATATATATATATATATATATATATTATATATACGTCTTTTACTGTTGTATATACATTCACTCTTGTGTATATCATGTAAGGAAGCATTTCTTCAGTCACAGAGTTGTCAGGAAGTGGAACAATGTGGAGAGTGATGTAGTGGAGGCAGGATCCATACATAGCTTTAAGATGAGGTATGACAAAGCTCATTGAGCTGGGAGAGTGCAGACCTAGGAGCCAGGAGCTGTGACTCGACTACTGCAACCACAAATGAGTACACACAAGGTGACAGCAGTAAGATGAGAGAGAGAGAGAGAGAGAGAGAGAGAGAGAGAGAGAGGGATGGGTAGGCTGCATCTTCTTGGACTGTAAGAAGGTTTACGACATTGTACCTCATAAGAGAATGGTCCAAGAGCTAGAGGAACAGGCAGGAATAACAGGGAACGCACCGCAGTGGAGCAGAGAATACCTGACGTGAAGAGAACAACAATGTGTCAGAGTGGGCGCCTGTGATGAGTGGGGATCCACAAGTGTCAGTACCAGATCCAGTGTGTTGAGTGGGGTTCCACAAGGGTCAGTACCAGGTCCAGTGTGTTGAGTGGGGTTCCACAAGGGTCAGTACCAGGTCCAGTGTGTTGAGTGGGGTTCCACAAGGTTCAGTACCAGGTCCAGTGTGTTGAGTGGGGTTCCACAAGGCTCAGTACCAGGTCCAGTGTGTTGAGTGGGGTTCCACAAGGTTCAGTACCAGGTCCAGTGTGTTGAGTGGGGTTCCACAAGGCTCAGTACCAGGACCAGTGTGTTGAGTGGGGTTCCACAAGGTTCAGTACCAGGTCCAGTGTGTTGAGTGGGGTTCCACAAGGGTCAGTACCAGGTCCAGTGTGTTGAGTGGGGTTCCACAAGGCTCAGTACCAGGTCCAGTGTGTTGAGTGGGGTTCCACAAGGGTCAGTACCAGGTCCAGTGTGTTGAGTGGGGTTCCACAAGGGTCAGTACCAGGACCAATGTGTTGAGTGGGGTTCCACAAGGGTCAGTACCAGGTCCAGTGTGTTGAGTGGGGTTCCACAAGGCTCAGTACCAGGTCCAGTGAGTTGAGTGGGGTTCCACAAGGCTCAGTACCAGGGCCAGTGTGTTGAGTGGGGTTCCACAAGGGTCAGTACCAGGTCCAGTGTGCTGAGTGGGGTTCTGCAAGGGTCAGTACCAGGTCCAGTGTGTTGAGTGGGGTTCCACAAGGGTCAGTACCAGGTCCAGTGTGTTGAGTAGAGTTCCACAAGGCTTAGTACCAGGGCCAGTGTGTTGAGTGGGGTTCCACAAGGGTCAGTACCAGGTCCAGTGTGTTGAGTGGGGTTCCACAAGGGTCAGTACCAGGTCCAGTTTACCTGGAGTTTACCTGGAGAGAGTTCCGGGGGTCAACGCCCCCGCGGCCCGGTCTGTGACCAGGCCTCCTGGTGGATCAGAGCCTGATCAACCAGGCTGTTGCTGCTGGCTGCACGCAAACCAACGTACGAGCCACAGCCCGGCTGGTCAGGAACCGACTTTAGGTGCTTGTCCAGTGCCAGCTTGAAGACTGCCAGGGGTCTGTTGGTAATCCCCCTTATGTGTGCTGGGAGGCAGTTGAACAGTCTCGGGCCCCTGACACTTATTGTATGGTCTCTTAACGTGCTAGTGACACCCCTGCTTTTCATTGGGGGGATGTTGCATCGTCTGCCAAGTCTTTTGCTTTCGTAGTGAGTGATTTTCGTGTGCAAGTTCGGTACTAGTCCCTCTAGGATTTTCCAGGTGTATATAATCATGTATCTCTCCCGCCTGCATTCCAGGAATACAGGTTTAGGAACCTCAAGCGCTCCCAGTAATTGAGGTGTTTTATCTCCGTTATGCGCGCCGTGAAGGTTCTCTGTACATTTTCTAGGTCAGCAATTTCACCTGCCTTGAAAGGTGCTGTTAGTGTGCAGCAATATTCCAGCCTAGATAGAACAAGTGACCTGAAGAGTGTCATCATGGGCTTGGCCTCCCTAGTTTTGAAGGTTCTCATTATCCATCCTGTCATTTTTCTAGCAGATGCGATTGATACAATGTTATGGTCCTTGAAGGTGAGATCCTCCGACATGATCACTCCCAGGTCTTTGACGTTGGTGTTTCGCTCTATTTTGTGGCCAGAATTTGTTTTGTACTCTGATGAAGATTTAATTTCCTCGTGTTTACCATTTACTGGAAATAAATTTGTAATATTTTTATGGATAAGATTAATATTAGGGGTCTAGGGGCTTCCAGGGGCTTCCAGGGAGTCCAGGGGGTCTTGGGGCTTCCAGAGGCTTCCAGGGGCTTCCAGGGACTCCAGGGGGTCTTGGAGCTTCCAGAGAGTCCAGGGGGTCTTGGGGTTTCCAGGGAGTCCATGGGGTGTTGGGACTTCCAGAGGGTTCCAGGGGCTTCCAGGTAGTCCAGGGGGTCTTGGGGCTTCCAGGGGCTTCCAGGGAGTCCAGGGGGTCTAGGGGCTTCCAGGGACTTCCAGGGAGTCCAGGGGTCTAGGGGCTTCCAGGGACTTCCAGGGAGTCCAGGGGTTCTTGGGGCTTCCAGGGGGTTACATGGGCTTCCAGGGAGTCCAGGGGGTGTTGGAACTTCCAGAGGGTTCCAGGGGCTTCCAGGGAGTCCAAGGGGTCTTGGGACTTCCAGGAGCTTCCAGGGAGTCCAGGGGGTCTTGGGGCTTCCAGGGGCTTCCAGGGAGTCCAGGGGGTCTTGGGGCTTCCAGGGGTTACATGGGCTTCCAGGGAGCCCAGGGGGTGTTGGGACTTCCAGAGGGTTCTAGGGACTTCCAGGGAGTTCAGGGGGTCTTGGGGCTTCCAGGGGCTTCCAGGGAATCCAGGGGGTCTTGGGGCTTCCATTGGGTTACATGGGCTTCCAGGGAGTCCAGGTGTTGGGACTTCCAGAGGGTTCCAGGGGCTTCCAGGGAGTCCAGGGGTCTTGGGGCTTCCAGGGGGTTACATGGGCTTCCATGGAGTCCTGGGGGTGTTGGGACTTCCAGAGGGTTCCAGGGGCTTCCAGGGAGTCGAGGGGGTCTTGGGGCTTCCAGGGGCTTCCAGGGAGTCCAGGGGGTCTTGGGGCTTCCAGGGGGTTCCATGGCCTCCAGGAGGTCCAGGGGGATCCGGGGGTTTCCACGGGCTTCCAGGGAGGTCTAGGGGTTCCAGAGGGTTCCAGCGGATTGCAAGTGGGTTGAAGGAGGTACAGGAGCTTCGAGGAGATCCAGGGGGGTTAAGGGGGTCCAGGGGGGTCCAGGGGGTTCAAGAGGGTCCAGGGGGGTCCAGGGGGG